CGTATAGCATACATTATACGAAGTTATACGATGTTCTGACAAAACTGAGAGTTGTTCCGGATTGTTCTGTGTCTATTTCTCATTGTTCTAGGTTTTAGTGTCGCTGATGTAACATTATCGGTCGAAAAAGACAAAATAATTCTCTACCTTCAAGAGTAAAGTGCCTTTTATATGTTTGTTCTGGTAAAACTGAAAGTTGTTCTGGGTTGTTCTATTCGTTTTTAGCTTAAATATGTAATTTGGTGTCAAAACATAATATAATAATAGCGATAAATGTAAAAATACTATTTGGACGCTTAATGCTATTTTTTGCTATATCTTTTTAAATTCTTTTTTAGGGGGATTAATATTTTAGAACAATGTTTAGAACAATTAGAACAATCCAGAACAGCAAAAAAATTTGAATTTAAAAAAAAATGGGTAGCCACAAAAATAAACTGTTTTTTTGCTTTTCCCGTCATGTTTTTCGATTTTTTTGTTCATAACTTTGGAACAATATAGAACAAACGTAGAACAACCTGGAACAACTAAAAAAATATTCAAAATCGAAAAATGGGGGGCTAACTTCATATAGGCGATTATTTGCTTAGTTTGAATCTGACCGCAGAACGAAACAATCGCGCACGGAAAAAACTACCTTTAAAACGCAAACACTAGTCAAATATATAAGTGGCCTAAAAATATTTTTTACAAGAAAATAGTCTATTTTGCTAGGCTAAAGTGTTAGTTAAAGTATAAGTAGCTAAGTTCGTCTTTTAGTTTTATAGACGATCCTAATTAAAGTAGTAAAACAGTGACAATATTGCGAATTTAACAAAAACACACAACTAGCAAAATGCATTCCATACGTGCTCATCAGGCCTTGAGCAAACACAGAAGCGCGTTACACATATGGAAAATCGCCACAAAATACTTCGGTACAGATGTGGAATACAGACCGATCAGAAGTGTCCTCGTCGCCAATCGAGGTAAGAGAAGGTCGATTTGTTACTAATTCATGATAAAATAACATTTTAAACATAAGACTTTCTTTTAAGAAATAAAAAATGTCAAAAATTCTTTACAGAATTTTTTAATTTATAATTTAACATTATAGTTTGACTACCAAAATTTGCATCTCAATTCTCTTCAATAGATTCCAAAAAATATATTATAGTTTTATTATGTTATAAAAAATTATAATACTCATTGTTAGCACGCCAAATCTAAAAAAAATTTTATAAATACCGATTGAAGACTAAAGTTTCAATATTTTAAACATATTTATTATTAGGTCCTTGAATAAGTTCTCGCTGTTTCTTAAAAGATGGCGTAGCGGCACTCTGTGCATGGAATTTCGTACGGAAACGCATCAGCTAAGTAGTACTATATGTAACCTCAAATTCTAGTAGATACAGTTTACCACAGTGTCAACCACGTGTTTAATTACCTATTGCGAAAATGTCTACTTTTGTGCCAAATAAAGTGTTTTTGCGGGGAATTTTATTGCACTGCTTTATTCAAAAGAAATCTGCAGCTGAAGCACACAGAATTCTTGTTGAAACATATGGTGACAATGCTCTGTCGAATACGACATGCAGAGACTGGTTTAGGCGCTTTAAAAATAATGACTTTGACCTTGAAGATAAAGAACGTTCTGGAGCACCGACAAAGTTTGAAGACGAAGAATTGGAGGCATTGCTTGATCTAGATCCATGTCAGACGCTAGTAGAGCTCGGGAAAACATTGCAAGTAGATGCGTCAACAGTTTCAAAACGTTTAAAAGCGTTAGGAATGATCCAAAAGCAAGGACATTGGGTGCCGTATGAGTTGAAGCCGAGAGACGTTGAACGACGTTTTCTCATGTGTGAATTGCTGCTTCAACGGCATAAAAGAAAAGGTTTTCTGCACCGTATCATCACTGGAAATGAAAAGTGGATACACTACGATAATCCTAAGCGTAGAAAATCGTGGGGTAAGCCCGGCCATGCATCAACATCGTCGGCAAAGCCGAATATCCATGGTTCGAAACTTCTGCTCTGCATTTGGTGGGATCAGCAGGGCGTAATTTATTATGAGCTGCTTAAACCTAATGAAACTATCACGGGAGCTCGCTATCGACTTCAGATGATGCGTTTGAGTCGAGCTCTAAAAGAAAAGCGGCCACTATACGGGCAGAGACACGACAAAGTCATTTTGTTACATGACAATGCTCGGCCACATGTGGCAAAACCAGTCAAAACTTACCTGGAAACGCTTCAATGGGAAGTTCTACCTCACCCGCCGTATTCACCGGACATAGCCCCCTCGGATTACCACTTGTTTCGGTCGATGGCGCATGGTTTGAGCGAGCAGCGCTTCCATTCTTTCGAAGAAACCGAAAAATGGGTCGATTCATGGATTGCGTCAAAAGATGAATCGTTTTTTCGACGGGGGATTCAATTACTGCCAGAAAGATGGGAGAAAGTGGTCTCTAATGATGGACAATACTTTGAGTAAAGTCATTGTAAGCCTTATATTTTAAATTAATGTTTTTTTTTAACAAAAAAAACAGCGAGAACTTATTCAAGGTCCTAATACTATATTTTAATTTCATTTTTTATTTCTACGATTTCTTCGTAGCAGGACATTGTATTTCTAATAACTATTAGAGTTGGGAAGTTATTCTTATTATCTTGTTCTTTCCAAATAATCTTTTAACGTGTAACTTTTTAAAATATATCTTACTTTTTCTATCAGCTTTCAAAAAAGATATGAATCGTAAGACGAAACTTATCTCATACAGAAAGCTGATAAGACAATGATGATGTATCACACGTGCTATTACGGACTTATTCTCGATAACGCCACAACGCAACCAATTAACGCATTTATTGATGGTAATTTATGATCGTTAACATTTATCACTATTTATGATTTTAGTGCAAACAGAATATGAGTGATAGTATACAAAATTTAAACTTTGTCTTCCCATAATGTATATGTATGTATTGCAGTATTCTTCCAATATAACTGTTACATTGCTACAAACTTGCTACGTCGTATCGTAATCAAACGGTAAAAAAAAATTCGCAAACTTTCCAAATAATTATCATTATTCTTCTCTTTCGCCAAATATAATATCGATATTACTTAAAAATAATCGTTGCGTTGCGTTATCGATAACTTGTCGATTTTTATAGAACAAGGTTGTGTGTGCCTGATTAATCAAGATGTAAAACAGCATTATTCCTGATTTAGACCCGAGAATCAAGCATGTACGAGCACTCTGTTTAATTAAACAGTATCTCATAACATGTGCTCTTAGCGTGTTCGCCTCAGAAAATTCTAAGGACTGAGATAAACTATTTATCCCATTTTTACCACTTATCGTTATTTTTATAATATTACAAAATTAAAAAAAAGTGTTTTGAAACATATTAATATTTAAATAAAAATTCAATTAAATTGGTTTTCTCTGAGCAAATGTTTGATTAGATAGCGTATTTTTCATAGTTTTTTAACTTTTAATACCTATTAAATATTTTTGCAATTGTAAATTAAAATGCAATTAAGCAAAAGTCAGCTTAAACGACTTTGGCAATCATTCCCTAAAACTTCATTTGTGAAAAGTTAGGAAATTTGAATGCGGAAATATGATGATATTTCAGGGGAAATTGCTATTCGTGTATTTCGTGCCTGCACGGAGCTCGGCATTCGCTCCGTGGCGATTTATTCGGAGCAAGATAAGATGCAGATGCACCGACAGAAAGCGGACGAAGGTTACTTAGTAGGTAGAGGCTTACCTCCTGTTCAAGCTTACCTCAACATCCCGGAGATTATTCAAGTTGCCAAGGAGAATGACGTCGATGCTATACATCCTGGTTATGGATTTCTTTCGGAGAGATCGGATTTTGCTCAAGCAGTGACTGATGCTGGCATCAGATTTATCGGGCCTAGTCCTAAAGTCGTCCAGCAAATGGGTGACAAGGTAATCTTGCGTTGTAGCTCTCAGTTCCGCAGCGTATATCAATGACTAAGGGCGGTATTCATAGTCCGTTCTTATATTCAAGATCGTCTTAAGAACGAACTTATATTCGCTCTCTTCGTCAGACACAATCTATGTGTGACGAAGAGAGCGAATATAAGTCCGTGCTTAAGACGATTTTAAATATAAGAACGGACTATGAATACCGCCCTAAGTTTTTAAGATGTGTTATTCGGTGCGTCAAAAATGTACAACGTCATCGGTAAACAAACGGACGGCTTTTAAAGTTCTTTCGTATTTAAACGATAGGTAGCTGCCAGACAAGCCGCGATTGAAGCTGGAGTGCCTATTGTTCCGGGAACAGATGGACCAGTAACAACTTCTGATGAAGCGTTGGAATTCTGTATGAAGCACGGGCTTCCGGTTATCTTTAAGGCGGCGTATGGAGGTGGAGGACGAGGTAGGTTTGACACTGAGGTATCACGCACTGAGAGTTTATCGCATTTCCGTTTTTCTATAAACATTAAAAAAAAAATGCTTGCATTTTATAAAATGTCTTATAAAAGTTTCTTCAAAATTTCTTCCTACTATTGCATAAATCATTTATATGTAAACTAAAATTTTTATTTAATCGTAAAATAACGTTGCAAATTTTTGCCATTAAACGTATAATCATAAGTCATGTGAACAATGAATGTTTTTCTCCGTTGAATAACATTCCGAGCGTGTAGGAAACGTGCGTTTAAACACGCGAAAAATATCTATATACAAAGTACGATTGTGACAAGCTACTAGCGATAATTTTGTGATATGGTAAATTTGCATATATTATTTTAAGAAAAATGAATAACAGCATTTAAGTCAAAATGTGTAATATAAATACATTATATGTGTAAATTTAAATATTATATAAAACAAAAAATGCTGTGTTATAAATGGTAGTTAAAAAAAAACGCATATAATTCATTATTACTTAAAAATTATCGTAAACATTGAACTCATCAACTCAAATTCACTCAATTACTTTAAAATTATAAAACAATATATTATATACTAATTAGTGAAATAAGTAAAAATTACAATTAATAAAATTGATCTTATTGTCTAAAATTTAATATAAAAATGTATTTAATTAAATCATATATATATATATGTATGTATATTGTAAAATAACAAAAAAATTTATCATTATACAGGTATGAGAGTCGTAAAACAAATGGAAGAAGTTCGCGAAATGTTCGATCGTGCATCTTCAGAAGCGGCAGCTGCTTTTGGAAATGGTGCAATGTTTATTGAGAAATTCATCGAGAGGCCACGACATATTGAAGTTCAATTACTCGGGGATAATGCTGGCAATGTTGTGCATTTATTTGAACGCGACTGTTCTGTGCAACGTCGTCATCAAAAGGTCAGTAGCTGGTTAATTGTAATTTAACGCGCATAACAATCAATTAACCGTTAAAAATATTATATATCGATATTATAGTTCATGATTATTGATATCGAAATATTTTTCGACAGTTTTCTATCATTTCCCTGTTTTATCCTGAGTAATTTTTTATTTCACTTTTAGAAAAGAGCATTATTTATCTTTGTACTCGTAATTAATTTGTAAGTAGCCATAAATAAATATAATAATACATATAACTTAAAAAAAATAACATATAACAGCGCTTATACAAGTCAATTTTGTTGACTTTCATTACATAAAAACGGGACAAGGTTATTCGGCCACTGTAAAGCAGACACTTTGAAAGAGTTTAAAAAATGCAGAAAATATGTGCAATATGTTTTGAAATGATTATTGCTCAAATATGCCATGATTAATGCCAATATGTATAACGAGTTAGCAATTTTCTTCAATTCTATGAATAAATTAAGAGTCGATAAATTTTTTGCGGTGCTTTCTCAAGGATGTTTGACGAAGACAAGCACGTTCACTGCGACTATACTTGTCTCATCTTAAACAAGCACAGTGACGCAACCGCAAGAAATTCATCGAATAGTAATCTATTCGTACACGTAACAGTTCGCACATCTAAAATGTAAAATAATAATAACTTGATCGCAATAGACAGTCAGTTTCAAAATTTTAAGTTTTTTCTTAACAATCGTAGGTCGTCGAGATTGCGCCAGCTCCATCATTATCGTCCAAGGTTCGCGAGAAAATGACCGAATACGCCGTCAAATTGGCGAGACACGTTGGTTACTCGAATGCCGGTACTGTCGAATTTTTGGTCGACGAATCCGGAAATTTCTATTTTATTGAAGTCAATGCCAGATTACAAGTTGAACATACAGTAACCGAGGAAATAACCGGGTAATCAAATAAATATTTAAAAAATATCTTTTCACATTTCTTTCGATCATTATTCCTTTTTTCTTTGTTATCGTTTTCTTTTTTTTTCTTAATAATTAAATAGAATTAATATTTTTTGCGGTATTAACCGTGCACATTCACTTTATGTAAGCATAATATCAAAAATCACACATTTTTTATATTATTCTTATTCTTTCAGAATCGATCTCGTACAATCTCAGATTCGAATCGCCGAAGGCATGACGTTACGAGAGCTCGGTATGACGCAGGAAAAAATTGTGCCTCAAGGATTCGCGATCCAGTGTCGAGTAACCACGGAGGATCCAGCTAAGAACTTCCAACCAGATACCGGAAGAATAGAAGTCTTCCGCTCCGGCGAGGGCATGGGCATCCGATTAGACGGTGCCTCCGCATTTGCTGGAGCTATAATCTCGCCGTATTACGATTCACTTCTCGTTAAGGTAGTTATTATACACCGTATTTATCCCTGATATTCATTTTTCGAGAAATATAAATAATATTTGTTTTTCTCAGGTGATCGCCCACGCCGGCGACCTTCAATCATCGTGCGCCAAGATGAACCGAGCGCTCCGCGAGTTCCGTGTGCGCGGAGTAAAGACAAATATACCATTTCTGCTAAATGTTTTAGAAAATCAAAAGTTCCTCAACGGTATTGTCGACACATACTTCATCGATGAGAACCCGCAGCTCTTTCGGCTGCAACCGAGCCAAAACCGAGCGCAAAAATTGCTAAATTACATCGGTTCGGTCCTGGTGAACGGTCCGAGTACGCCGTTAGCTACTCAACTCAAACCGGCAGACATCAAACCGCATATTCCGCAAATTGCTTTAGGTATATGATTAATTGCCAACAAATATTATAGTCGGGAACAAAGGGTTTACACGTGCCAAACTCACTTCTGGATTTACCCAAGTGACGTACATTGCACCTCGGTAACACAGAACCGATTTAAAACTTGAACCTTCTAAATTATAATCACAGAAAATTCAATAACAAAATCCAAATTCTATTAATTAAATTTCGACATTAGACATTTCGTCCACATTATGACAGTGATAGAATTATTCTGGTTCCTAATTAGAGCAGAGGCGTACAGAGGATGTGCTTTCATGCGTGGGTCAGCAAAACAGGGATCTCTCATATTTTTTTTTTTCTCTTATTTTTTTATGTGAGAATAGGATGTCTATTAATTTTCCAATTAACTTCTTAATTAACGTTTCTAAAAATAATGCTATAAATTAATTTTGACAATATTTAAAAATTATCTTGACAACATATTTTTTCAGAATTTCATCATTTTAATAATTTTCGGAGACAACAAATGAATAATTAATGGAGAACATTCATTTATTCTTTATATATATTTTGTACCTGTACTAACATTTTTTATTACTTTTCAACAAAAGCAAACCTTAATATAAAGAATGACATGATATTTTTGGAGAAAATAGTGAACATCCTTCTCGCTAAAAATCTATTTTGCTTCTTTTGCTGGGTTTATTTATATAAGAATATTTGGTTGAATCGTTATACCAAAAATCTTTATATTATATTTTTTTTTCTTTTGATGTGTGTTCGTGTGTCAAAATTAATTATTGCACCACGCTACATTAAGCTCACTACATACTATGCAAAGTAAATGGACTCACGAAGCCTCTCCATATGTCTCTACTTATTATCATTACGTCAGTATCAAATAATAATTATAATAATAATGAAGCATGCTGGTTTTTTACCAACTAGTTGAATTAACTCTCATTAGTGATTCAATATTTCGTTCTATCACATTATTAAAAAAAATGCACTCGTAATTAAAATATTTATGAATGGGATAAATTTTATAAATCAGACAAATTCCGAAAATCTTCAATAATTTACATTTTAAATATTAATTTCCTTTTCGTACACACTTCATTGTTTATCGCATGCTTTTATTTTTTGTTTGCCAATTTTTTAGACTTTGCTAAGCTTGCAGCTGCAGAAGAAACCAATGATCCCGATGCACCAGGTACGGTCACAGTATTATGTTATACTTTCTTTTAATTATATTATATTAAGATTTAGTATTGTGCAGATTGCGATGACAAACTGAATATGGTATAGTATAATAAACAAAATTTTTTGCTTCTTTTCTAATAATCTGTTTTTCTTTCAGATTAAAAAAATTTGTTTTCTCAAATTAGATTGGTTACACAATTAAATTTCATATGATGACTACAACAATCATAAACAAATTATAATAATTAATTATTAATTGTGCTAATTTAGAAATGTTATGCTTGCCTTAAGAAGCATAAATATTTTTAAATTTTTTCTTACATTTTCAAGAAACCATTCGAATAAAATATGTGCTTAATAATGCTATATAAATTAATACTTAACAACAATAAGATTTTCACATATTCAATACTTTTATGTTATATATAATAACAGAAAAGAATCAATAAAAAATGGTCAATATAATATAGATAGTAAGAAGATAAAACAATATTTTTTTATATATCGAAAATATATTTATAAAATATTTGATATTTATAAATATTTTATATTCAAATATATTTTTTATATTTCGAATCTTCATCTCACATCGGATTTTATCGTTTTCAATGATAATAATTATAAATAATCAGTACTATAGTATAATTCACATACCAAGTTAACTATAAACATTTCTTCAAAAACTTTCTTTATAAACAAATTATTTTTTATTGACTTCCTTTCGTTTTTTTTTTTTCAATCACCGGGAAATATCGATAAGTCACCGCTTTTCATAAATACTTTACACGCCTATTAACAACAGCATGTATGAAATAACAATCCATTTCTTTCAGAAAAGCATTGAACTAATCTTTCTCTATACGCTTTTTCAGACATTCTGGATCCTCCGAAAGGATTCCGTCATATTTACAAAGAGCAAGGACCGGAAGCATTCGCCAAGGCTATCAGACAACACAAGGGTCTGCTTCTAATGGACACTACGTTCCGTGACGCTCATCAATCCCTGCTGGCGACTCGTGTACGGTCGCATGATCTAATGATGATCTCCCCATTCGTCGCGCACAAATTCAGCAATCTCTACTCGCTAGAAAACTGGGGCGGCGCGACCTTCGATGTAGCCTTGAGATTCCTTCACGAGTGTCCCTGGGAAAGGCTAGAAGATATGCGTAAGGCTATACCCAATATTCCATTCCAAATGCTGCTGAGAGGCGCTAACGCTGTCGGCTATACGAACTATCCCGACAACGTCGTTTTCAAGTTCTGCGACCTGGCTGTGAAAACCGGCATGGACGTCTTCAGGGTATTCGACTCGCTCAATTACCTGCCGAATCTTATCTTAGGTAATCTTAGAGATTCCAATTGTAACATAAACTACAAGGGAACATTGCGAAAGTCAATATTTTAAATCGTAGTTTAATATGCATTTGTAAAATCAATTTGCAAATTCGAGATGTTTCCTGCAAACGTACAAAAATTTCTTAATGTATTATCAAGTATAAATTTTCCTTCAGGTATGGAGGCCGCCGGAAAGGCCGGTGGTATCGTTGAAGCGGCGATTTCTTACACGGGCGATGTGAGCAATCCAAATCGTACAAAATACAACCTGAAATATTATACAGATCTAGCGGACGAGTTAGTCAAAGCGGGCACTCATGTCCTAGCAATCAAAGATATGGCTGGATTACTTAAACCGAGAGCAGCCGAGTTGCTGATCGATGCGATCAGACAGAAACATCCGGATGTACCTCTTCACATACACACACACGATACTGCTGGAGCTGGAGTGGCTTCTATGTTGGCATGTGCGAAGAGCGGCGCGGACGTTGTGGATGTTGCCGTTGACAGCATGTCCGGCATGACCAGTCAACCTTCCATGGGCGCAGTCGTTGCGTCTCTTCAGGGTAAAGAAAGCTGTTAACTGTTGATAATTACGAATGAAAATTGACAGTTCATTTGAATTAAATATATTAATAGTAAAACATCTAATTATATATTAAAGCCACATCAATATTTAAATTAAAATTTATAATCAATGCCATAGGAACGGACATTGACACAAAACTGGATCTCTCTGACGTCTCCGAGTACTCTGCATATTGGGAACAAACGAGAACGCTTTATGCGCCTTTCGAATGCACAACAACGATGAAATCCGGAAACGCAGACGTCTACCTGAACGAAATTCCTGGTGGCCAGTACACGAATCTACAATTTCAAGCTTTTTCACTTGGTCTGGGTGAATTTTTCGAAGACGTGAAGAAGGCATACAGAGAGGCCAATCTTTTGCTCGGCGACATCATCAAAGTCACACCGAGCTCGAAGGTTGTCGGTGACCTGGCGCAATTTATGGTTCAGAATAAACTGACCGCCGACGACGTTTTGAAAAAGGCAGAAGAATTATCGTTTCCTAAATCGGTGGTCGAATTTCTTCAAGGCGCTATTGGTGAACCTTACGGAGGATTCCCTGAGCCTTTCAGGTAAGATTTCATATATGACATATATATAGATATAATACACTTATAATACTAAAAGTAATTATTTATCATTCGTTAATTTAATAAATTTAATTTAATTTGCATTTATAATTTTCTTCAGGTCAAAGGTCCTCAAAGACATGCCGCGAGTACAAGGCAGACCAGGCGCGAGTTTAGCATCCCTGGATTTCAATACCTTGAAGAAGGAGCTGCAAGAATCTCATCCGCACGTCACTGAAAAAGATGTCATGTCAGCTGCGCTTTATCCTAAAGTGACGAAAGACTATTTAAATTTCAAAGAACAGTATGGTCCGGTAGATAAATTGGAGACGCGAATCTTCCTCACGGGACCTAAAGTGGGCGAGGTATTCGATGTCACCATCGAGAAGGGCAAAACACTTGGTATTAAAACTCTGGCGGTTGCCGAAGATCTCACGGCGAACGGTGAACGCGAAGTGTTCTTCGAGATGAATGGCCAGTTGAGATCTGTCTTCATCAAAGATAAAGAGGCTATAAAGGTAAACACACGCAGCTCACAAACTTTCAGCGCTATTTTCTGCGATCAAATTAATATTTCAATTAAAGCGCAATTAAAATAAATAGCGATTAAACAGAAATTAAAATAAAATTACTATTGAAAAATTAAATTACTATAAACTCAAAGTTAAATTGAAATAAGATTGAATTAAAATTGAATTGGCAGTTCATTTCAATCGCATCAAGTACAATACGAATTTTCTTATTTCCGATGCAGGAACTTCACGTACATCCGAAAGCGGCGAAGGGTGACAGCAATCAATTGGGAGCACCGATGCCCGGCGAAGTGATCGACATCAGGGTAAAAGTAGGCGACACTGTGGAGAAAGGTGCACCATTAATCGTACTGTCCGCTATGAAGATGGAGATGGTCGTGCAGGCACCTAAAGCAGGAAAAATCAAAAGTCTCGCCATCAGTCAGGGCATGAGATTGGAAGGGGATGATCTCCTCCTGACATTCGAGTAAACTCTCACGCCGATGAGACCGATCGTCTCTAGAAGTCAATTCACAACTACTTTACGTAAAGACATGAAATATTTATTATAGACAATATTTACTTTGATAGTGCATGTGGAAGCAAGATCTTCAAATGCTTTTGCTGACTTCGGGATCCAGATTTTCATTGCATGTTGTTATAACATTATATTATTAGTGGTGATTATCTTGTCCAGAATTATCGATCACTGTACATTCAAAGTACATTTATAGTAAATGCGATACTTTATTCATGGGTTTCTGTCGCACACTGACAGACTTTTTTGATAATTTTATTTCTTAGATTATATGTATAAGATCACATCTTATACAGGATGTTCGAAAATTCATAATATAGATTCGTCTGTTGTAAATATCCGTTTAATATAAATATAGGTCTATTTAGACACTAAGATACATTTATTCATTTTGTCACGCAAAAGAAATTATTTCTCCAAAGTAGAATCTTTGCAGCTTTATTTTGGAGTATTTCGAACATCCTGCATGTATCACTTGTATATGATACAAGTAGCCAATACAATTAATGTGATACAATCAAACGAAGCTGCCTAAGGAATATCAATTACTACAAAAAAAAATATACAGCAGTCATATAAGTAAAAAATTCGATAATAAAACTACCATTTCGTGATGCGACAAATTCGTCGAGATTTTTGTATAACAATCAATCAATTGGTGAATGTATCTGTGAAAAATTCACATTCGATTATACAAAAAAAAACATTCGTTATTCTTTTTTATATTTTTAAACAAATCAATGTAAGTAGTGTAGATTTTTAAAAGTACAAACAATCGCAATCAACCTGAAATAAAATTAATACGCTTAGAATATCAAAAAATTGTCAGGTTTAGTTATTTTCAGCGCATCAATATTCAAATGTACATATTTTATTGCAATATAAACTGATTATCCCTGTTATTGTTCATCTCATCTGTTCATAAATGTACAAAAAAAAAAAAAACGGAAAAAAGATCAGGGGCAAGATTCTATATTAATTGTAGAAAATGTATATTAAATGTTCCTCGTAGCAAACAATATGCATATAAGTTCCTGATAATTTAATTACGATATCGAACCAAGTCTTCACGAACAATTTAGCAAATCTATGAAAAAAAAAGATTTATTCAAGGAACAAAGATAAGAATATTTCTGAAGAGTCTTGTCTGTCTTCAAGATCTCGAATATTCTATAAGCAATGTACTACAGAACAATGCAAAATTCTATGTGCCTGTGTTACGAGAACAAATAATTAATATATCTTACAAATAATAAATTAATAAAATTAATTAATTCTAGCGAGACATTTGGATCGTTTTGGCCTCATTCAATATTTAATATTTGATTTTTTTCAATTAAATAATATATACATTTCGAATTTTAGATAAATATACACAACTACATGTGTGCGAAAATCCATTATTATACTTTATTAATTGAATAATTATTTTATATTTTAATCATCTCAAATAATTAAAAATTATTTTCAATGTTAACCCTGCCACCATTAAATTATCTTACTTTAATATCTTAATTAGAATAATACTGTATTAATTCCAATAATATAAATTTCTCATTTATTATTTAAATAATGGCTTAAGTATCAGTAATGAATATTTTTTCTGTAAGAGCGACAGGGTTAATCATTTAAGGAAATTAGACAATAGGATATCAGGGCGTAATTAGCAAGCTTTAAGAATGTTCTGTAAAATTCGAAGCTGAGACGAACGGAGTGCATCCATTTATTGTAATAACCCATCATATACTCGAAAGAAGAAGGTCATAAAGTTTTCATGACTTTCTGCAAATATGCGAAAACGTGGCAATAGACTTGTAATCTTTATAAGTCCGGGCGTATACAGATCATAAATGACAATGGTAAGAGAATATGTCACCGAACGCCGACAAATATATATTATATATATATATATGTATATATATAAAACATTGTATAAGTTAACATTTCCGACTAAACTCTTATCGGTGTATCGAGAAATCGATACAATATAATTATAATATATATCTGTATAATAAATATGAAATATTGATATATATGTATATGTGTACAATATATATATATATATATCATAATCGTAATAGTTCTGCTCTGATATATTTAGCAATATTTTGTCTGAACGATAAAGAGAATCTTTTTTTTCGGTATTTTTGTCTTTTGATAGTTTCCCGAGATTACTCGCTAAGAAGATCGGTCCCGAATTTCTTACGCGTTGCGCGTCCGTTGAAAAGAAAACTTGGTTTTCATCGTGGAGACTGCTGTCGCACAATTTATATTAAAGCGATTTTCGGTGACTAGATACTTCGAAACCGTAGACTCTTCCGCTTACAAGTACGTACGCTCATAATAACATGATACATGCGAATTGGAGGTAAACATGTGTCAATGAGAAAGGTAAAGTGAACTAGTGAGAGATTTTGGAAGGCAAAGAGACGAACTCTTAAAACTATCGGCCCGACCGGTGGATTCTTTCATGAATTGGCGTATCTCATTCATGGCATCGACTCGGCGAGTCGATAGTTCGATAATAATTGCTTGTTGATAAACTTCCCCGTTGCACTCGTTCGAATAAAGCAAACTCATAACGAAATCGAAATAGATATCACGAATAATGAGGCTTGCATTCCACATCGTCACAATTTTTTTGATAATATAAACGAATATGCGAGAATTAAAGTCTACGTCGCACAAAGACTAAACTTTCAAGGCTGTCGCATCTGATAAAATGTGCACAACACAACACGCGATTTAACCCTTTGCGTTCCAAGGTTACATCTTGCTGCTGACCACAAGTGGCGCGCATTTTATACTTATTTTGCATTCATATCTAAGTCAATTGGCTATTCTAGTGTATAAAGGTCACCCCATAATCATGAACTTTTATCAGTTTAGATGTATATAATTTATTCATACTCGACTCAGTATGAGTCAATCCGGCTCAAATCACAAAGAGTTAATCGCCGATTTGCAAGAGTAAATTCAATGTTTCGAATCAGAAAATATATCTTAACAGATAGAACCCATTGTTAAACTAATCTTATAGCGTTTTCGATTATACAGGATTTGAACGACCCAGGGTTGGTTAATGACGTCATTGCAACCTCTCCACCAATGAAAGACTTGCATTTATAGTAAAATAGTGATTGATCAACCCTGGGTCGTTCAAATCCTGTATAATCGAAAACGCTATTACTCGCCGAAAAGATGGAAAATTTAAAATTTTCGTTGTAAAACTTGTTCCTATTATTATTAAAGCAACACATGTTCGTTGAGTCAACAGGTTCTTCGATGTTAATAATTGGTCACGTGACGACGTCGCGTATTCGTTCAAGTCAACGCCACTTATGTTAGGGAAGCCGCTCAACAAGCGAATATATATCTCTTAAGAATCGGCTTTTAGTACAAACAGTAGATAAGTATAGCATAGGTATTCAAAGTAGAAAGTGTAAAGTATCACAAGAATTACAATAATCGTAATAATTATATTACGTCGCAAAGATTAAGTTCTTGACCTTACTACATCGATTGCACAGTAATTATAAGCGCTTTAATCACGTCCCGCGCTTCGAACACGCGCCAATAGACAAAGGGATCTCTATCAAGTCGGATAACTCTCTGTAAATACATCAGTCTTTGACACAATAATTATAATAACACCATTGACAGAGTAAAGCTGTGAGAAAGATCGCTTTATGGTATGGAGACGAAAGTACTTATATAAAACACGACTCTGAGTTCAGAACGTGGTCGAATGTAACGTGCTACGTTGCCGGAGGAGCATATATCTCCGGATAAATCCTGTGAAGGAGATTTTAGAAGAAGAGAGAAAATGGATTTTCGATGGAGTCCATTAATACGGTGCGTAAGCACTTATCGAGAGTATTTAGAAAGCAGCTCAGCAGAATCGTTCTTCATGCGCGGCAAGCCAAATCACTCGATTGGAGAATAAGACGTCAATCCTGTATTATGTTGCAAAAAGTGCGTGTTTCTGTTAATGATATATACGTAGGTTTTGATTGCGAGTAAAATATGAGATTTAAAATTTTTGGAACCGGGATTTCGATGATATACTATACATAACTAATACATATTTGCATTGACATTCTTATGTTCTCATTGGTTTCACGCTATCCAAGAGTTTATACACACAATGTGTCGGAATAGTAAAAAAAAAAGATAATTAATAAAAAGAGACTAAATTATCTGAAATCTAAAATATACACTCAGGATGTGATACAACTTTAACAAAAATATTACAACGCCATAAAAATATAATTTAGCTAAAGCCCTCTCGGTTCCAACTCTTTGAGCAGAATTCGCTCCAATAGAAATACAACTGTAACGATTATAATATTTGAAGTTCTGCCAAAGCTAGCAGCAATTACGGAATATTATTATCAAATTTCGATCAAATATTTTAGCCCACAAAGGTACACCAAACCAATTCCCTTAGGCCATACAATTGATTTCCAAGATCTGTAATCAAAGCGTACGAACATCACATTGCGATTCATAATTTAAGTCGCTGTGGCTTGCGGTTGAGGCGGCGTTGGCGCCTGTGTGTTGACATTTGGCCTATAAAATCGGTTGACTAATTGTTTCAAACTCATTACGACGCCTAATCCGGTTCCTGGCTCCATGTTGATGAACGAATCGAGATTATCCTTGCATGCTGAAATGTTTGAAATACAACTGTTCAAGAAAACATTCTAATATCATATATAAAATAATTACATGCAACATATATGCTATTTAAAAAATTACAGCATAGAATAGAAATAATTAGAAAAATTAAATATTAAAACACAATGTGACGAAAATGCTGATCATAATGATAAAGGTATTTAGCCATGTTCACAGGTAGAAAATTCAGCGGTTCCAAGGTTCGGAGATGCGAGGAATTTTCAGGAGAAACGGTGCTTCAAGGGTAACGAGGAAAATTTTCTAAAACTTTTATAGATCTCTACATACTTGGTGTCGCGATCGGAGGATAATCTGGCGGCGTCTTAATCCATGTACCATCCTTGCGCTTCATGTGATGCCGACTTGATGCAAATTGTTGCAAATATACACTGGCTGGAACTAGACGGAACCTTCTATGATATTCAGGCCGCAACGCTTCATCAGATCTGAAGGTTTCGGTCGCGTATTTCCAGAAATGTGTGGGAAACGGTAGAGAACTCTCTAAATCGTACACAACCGCCCTTTCGTCGGGCGCATAGATAAGAATAGCATGGTAATCCTACAGAGACAGAACGGTCAGTAAATATTACAGAGGGCGGGGATGCTGTAATGTTTCTTAATTAATTATCCCTGCTGCGGTACTGACCCACACGACCAATTTGTCCTCGTCCTTTCCCGCCCGCTGACGCCAAAGCGGAACGCTCCGCCGTGGATTGCTTACGAAAACAACATGACAATGTTGCAATTCGGAAGGATGCCTAGTCGATACATCTTGACACAGCTTCCATACGTTTTCCTCGCTGAAATTGGACATATATAATACCCCTTACACCTCAGAAACATTATACCAATTCATAACACAACACACGAAGGAATAACACATTAATTTAGTTTACGAAGCAATATACCTATTATTAACGTAAAACATTGATTAATAAAATATATGCAAGCAGGAATAGCATGCGTGCAAAATGTATGTGTACAAAAATAAATGGATAAGTAAAATATATGCTAAAAATATTGTAAAACATAAGTAAAACATAATATTTTTTATGTCACTTAATATTATTAATATAACGAAATATTCGGGATAAAAAACTGGAATAAAAGGTACTATAATAAATATATCAAAGCAATCATTAGTAAAAATATAATACATATGTATATAATATCAATAATCAATTATTTTCTACAGAAAGAACAATTTTATTAAACAACAAAAAATATACTTAAGAAATATCAAATATCAATTTTATGCAAAATCCTGTTTAATTAAATTAATATATAATAAAATAAATTGTTAAAACAAATATAAAATGAATCGAATAATATTGATAGAATAGAACAAATTGTATACATCTTACAAAACATATTGTCAACAAAAGGGAATAGTGGATACATGCATATATATACAGGGTGTCTCACCACCAAAAGTGGCACCCCCTTTTATCTTTTAAATTAAAAGAGATAAACCATAACAAATATATATCAAATTAAATAGGTTTCAAACTGTATATCTCTTTTAATATTCTTTAATTTAAAGATAAAAGGTGGCACTTTTGGTGGGACACCCTGTGTGTGTGTATATATATATACATAAGTGATTATAAAACTTTCCGCAATATTACCCAGCAGTATGATAAAAAACATATCAAATTTTAATAATAGCATACAATAAAGCTCCATGTACTAATCTGAAAATTACCTTAGAAATTGCAAAGCTCACCAGAAACATAGATAAATGCAATGTGCAACTGTTAAATACAGCAGTCATAATTAGTAGAATAAAAAGCTCAGAAAGATTAGTTCAATTTTTCCGACCATGCTACGTGTCCTTTGCGATTATAAGAAAAAGGAAACTAAACGTGTCGCGTGCATGCGATTTAACACAACAACGGCTTCGCGTGCCATGCTGTTCCGTGCGCATTATCTATCGCATGCATTATTAATTGCAATAAAAGCAGGCTCATATATTCGCACCGCTTAAGTAGTACATAAACGAGTCGCCAATAAGCAGTGTTCTACCAACATGCCTGAATCGGTAGATACGTTCATTCGTTAAAAATAAAATTCCATTTCATAAAACATAGCCGGAGCAAATAAAAACATAATCAAACATAAAGTTCTTATTAAATTTCTAGTCTATTTAATAGATTTGTTTGCATTCCTTTTTAAAATATATTTGTTTACGACAGTATCTATATTTATCAATGAAATCTATACTGTACATGTGTGAACAAAAGTATATTAAAATTATTATATTTATGTATCGAATAAACTGTTAAGAATTTTGAGAAACATAGATGGAAGTTTTTAATTAAGACAGTAATACATGATTAAGTGATGCATATAACACAAAAAATAAGCAATTTAAGAAAGCACTTAAAATTTAGTCTACAAAGTTACGAACAAAATTTGTATTCATATAGGAACCAACAGGAATAAAAATTGTATTAATAGAAGCAAAATTTCCAACAGTTAGGATTGTGTGATAATCATATTACATAAATAGCACTCACACATCCACATGCTTATTTAAAATTTATCTAATTCGTGTAAAATGTATTTCTAGTAAAACACACAACGCAATCAATAAACAATTCTATAATAAATAACTATACCATACATCATAATTACTCCCCTGTTACTTAATAGGCATGTTTCTCCAAAGAAACAAAATCTCTGTATATGTATAAATCAAGATTATCTAAGATAAATTCACTTACAAAACAGAAATATTATTTTTATCAGTTCATATGTTCGCGTATCTTTAATTATTTCATTTACATCCAAAACAAATCAAGTTACTGTTACTATACAGCGTTGTTTATTTTTTCTTCATTATGCACATTTTTTACTTGTATTTCGAATATTAGATATAATGCTCTAAGAAATGCGTATTTAATAATAGGAGAAAATGTATGTCTAATTTGTATATCATTTTAAATCGCGCGCTGCGCACACACTGCAAAGATGGTCGCGCGTTCGCTGCACCGCCGCAACGTATCGATCGGAACACAGTGTATACCGCAATACGGCGCGTTTATTTGTCCGGAGATCGATCGTTGCCCCAGAGCACGTCGCGTCGACCACAAATCGTGGTCATGTCGGCTACTCACCAGTAGCAGCTAGTATTCACGCAGTCAGATGCTTTCGTAAACAGGGGCACCAAAGGCTTAGCGTTCCCGGTCACACGAGGTTCCACGGCCATCCTATCGTTTACGGACGCTCTTACTGGACTCGGAACACAACGCGAGACACGAGCGAATACGAACTGAACGCGACGCTGATCACACGCGCATTAAAAAGACCACGGGCACTTCGCGAACTTCATAACGAAATGTCGAACAATCGCGTTTCTCTTGTTCTCTCTCAACCGCGACTCGTACAACCATTCAAACGTAGCATTGTTCAACTACTACACTTCAGAGCGACTCCACCGATCCAGTGTTCCCACTTCAAGCAACAAAATTTTATTCACTGCGCAAGCCTGGATTTTTCCCTCAATTTGGCAAACTTGCGCAAATGTACTGTGCGCGCGCACATCTTCAAACGATGCGTAAATAAACGCAGAAGAAATGCGTTGCATTTTTATGTGTTAAATTATTATTACCGTGAAATGATATTACATAAATTTACTTGATAGTTTCTCGTTAATGATTCATTAACGATTCATTAAACAATAAAATAAATTATCTCGCGCTAGTCTTTGGTTATATTATCACAAATTTATTTTCAACTAAAATGTTCTTAATTATTTTATATTAAAATTGTTGAATTTAATAAAAATAAGTTGGATATTAGAATTGATAAAAATATCAACTGTAATTAAAATGATAATACCTATTAATGCTAGTAAATTGCACATGTTTTTATACAAAGCATCACACCATATGTCTGGTTCTCTCAATTTAGTTGTACGATAATGAAATCGTCCTTCTGTAACTAATGTTGATAGTAATAATGCGGACTTTGATACCATATGTCCGGATGTCATGTGACTCTTTTATCAGATGTTTATAAAACTTGTAACGTTATATCGCGTCATTAAATGTATTTCTGGTTACTACCGGTTTCACATATTGTCGGAGACACATTGTCGTGTTTGTACGCTGTTTTAATACGAAATAACATTAAGTAATATTTTTATACGCAATATACGGAATAGTACTGTAACAATGGCTATAAATGCTGCAAAAGTTATGCTCAGACAAGGAAAAAGTGTATTATTCATTTGCGATATTCAAGAAAAATTCGTCAAGGCTATATTTCAATTTGATAAAATGGTGCAAAACTCAACGAAATTGGTAAATTTATCAAGTTATTATACATTAAATACTTATAATTATGTAAAAAAATAATTGAGATTATAGATATGTCAAGAGGTTATGTTATTTTTATATATAAGAAAATATTTAAATATTTTTCAATATTACAATCTATTCTTAAAATGATATATATTTATTGCATTACTATTAATCATATAAAAATGATTTTACAGATCAATTGTCTAAAAATTTTGAATGTACCTGCAATAGTTACTGAGCAAAATCCAAAGGCTTTAGGAAAAACTATTCCTGAGATTGATATTTCTGGAGCTAAAGGACCTTTTGCAAAAACCCAATTTAGTATGTGCACTTCTGAAGTAAGTATATACACATTTTGTGTTTTATAAATAAAGCTAATGTTAGATATAAGAATATATATTTATTTTACTTTTTTTAGGTTCGCAAAGAACTTGCAACAATTTGTGACGGAGAAAGACCAAACTCTATCATACTAATAGGCCTTGAAACACATGTGTGCGTGGAAAATACAGCTATTGACTTAAGACAAAGAGGCTATGAAGTTCATACTGTAGCAGACTGCTGTTCTTCACGTACTCAAGAAGACAGAATATTAGCTTTAGAGGTATGCACATGTAAGATTATATATTCTCTTTAGAAAAAATTAATAGCTATATTAAAACTATTAATGAAATATTTTTTTCACAGAGAATGCGAGACATAGGATGCCACATAACTACTTCTGAGAATGTAGTATTCAAACTTTTACAGGATGCAAATCATGAAAAATTCAGAAATGTACTGACTTTCATTAAAACACCAAGTCTATACACAGGATTAGTTCCTGATTCAAAAATTTGAATATTTTAAAGTTATTTTTATATATTTTATATCTGCATTAATATATAATTAGTATTATATATTAATATTACATATAAATATTATAATATTAATATATACATATATAATAGTTTCATATTCAAACCCAAATTTTAATATGTTTTGATAGACTATATGATTTTAAACAATTATAAAAAATAAAAAATTATATTTTATCAAAATTACTTTATTTTATATTTTATTTATAAGATAGCAAAAATGTAATGAGAAATCTGAAATCTTTTTGTAATTCAAACAAGGTAAAACTGATTTTATCTTCGCCTTTTTTTTCATTTCATGCCTGTTGAACCAAATCCTCCTGCACCTCTATTTGTATCATCCAAAGATTTTACTTCTTCTATATCAGGATATGTAATCTTTTCACATATCAATTGAGCTATACGATCACCAGGTGCAATTTCAAAATCATCATTGCTATGATTAAACAGCACTACGCCAAGGTTACCACTGTATTAAAAAAATATATATATATATATATAAAAATAGAGATAATGATATCTTGACTTTCAATAACTGTAGAAGCTCTACCCACCGATAATCAGCATCTATAACACCTGCACCTACATCTATATGATTTTTCCACGCTAATCCAGATCGTGGTGCAACTCTCCCATATGTACCAAAAGGAACTTCTATTTGCAAATCAGTCTTAACTAATTCCTTGCCATGTGCTGAAATAATGTACTTGTACGCACTGTACCAAACAAGAAACAAAATATTTTTAAAATCTTACTATACAATGATGTTTTTCATCAAATATCAATAATCATTGAATAAGTAATTTTATACTATTCTGCAAATATGTCATTTAACTTATTATCAAAGACTAATTCCTTTGTCTAGCGTACTTTACTTTGTCAAAAGCTATTAGTTGTTTACAATTTTAATTTTTTGTATTTTGATAGTTTTTCAAGTATTTATATCTAATTAAGTAATTACAAACAAGCGTTACTATCTGATTATCTTATTTATCACATATCACTTGTATAATACTTGATAGATTTGTGATATTAATATACTTCAGATATGTATGTACCTTCGTAAATCGTATCCTGCCGCATATTCTGAACCTCTTGTCGGTGCAAACGCTTTCTCCGACAATTTTGCATACTTAAGGATCAACTTGTCGTTTCCTGACATAACGAAATCTATGAGTTCTTTGCTTACAGCTACCTAAGTCACGTCACCTTAATATCGCCGTACCACGCTGGTTTTACCGCGTTTTTCGGCAGTTTGCCGCCAAAAAAGTGGCGGCAAACAGTTGGTTGTTTAAACGTATCTTATTATATATTTTAAATTGATTTAGTCTACAATCGAAATAACTCTTAAAATCAAAACAGCGTCATATTGAAAACGTAATGCAATGTTTAATATAAATTTCATTATTTTTTATAATAAATATTGTACTCATTAACGTAGCTGCAAAATTTAAATGTACCAATTTTGTTTTATTATAAAAAATAGGAAGTAAAATGCTATTTTTAATAACTTTAAATTAGTATTGATAATTGGTACATAACTATTTTTACCAATAATATAAAATATCATTCGATAGTACTAGAAAAAAAATAGATATGTTGAAAGCTTTGTTGAAGTAGTACAACAAAGAATAATATCTATAAGTTTATACGAAAAAGTATTCAATGGATAATAGCAAATTAGCTACATAATAGCTATTGCCTTTATTATCATTATTATTATAGTATTGTTGATATCAGCAGTATCAAACCGACCTCTCATGCGACTGCATAAAACACGCCATACATAGCTTGCCATTGTTCGCATATAAAACACGTGTATAAAAGTGAGACGCATCCGCACATCTGATATTCGGAGAAAAACTGCTTTTTTACATGCGAGCATGCATGCATGTGGTTTGACCGACAATTCAACGCGCAGGCGTGTTCGCAAACATAAAATCGATAGGAACACACCAATTAACGAATGCATCCGGTTTGATAACCATTTAAGAATATACTGATAGCAATCTACAAATGAAAGATTGTCCGAGAAATCTCGTAACAAATAATAATAGTCATTAGAAAAGATAAAATTTTTCAATAATTTAATAATAATAATAATAATATAACAAAAAAATATATTAATAAATCAACATTTTATAACTTTGTTAAACCTTGCAAAATCTATATCTCGTCTATATAAAAAGCAAAACATTATGCTTTATTTTCTTGCATGTATTATTAAATTTATAATCGATTTTCCGGAAATTAAGAATAAGAATTTTAAATTATATTGTTAATATTATTTATTTTATATGTTATCGATCTGTGCACGTTTGATTTAATGTTTTCTTAAATCTTTTGAATATTAAACATTGTTCTCGCTTTGCCCCTGAATTGCCTTATTTTTAGAGCAGTTCAGTGCTTTTCCACCTTTTCCTTTTTTTTTTTATCGAAATATTTACAGCCGATATGTTGCTGTCCACAATATCGGTAAACGGATTATGCGCGTATATCCTATCCTCCGTGCCGTTAATCAAGTCGTTTATGTTGTGCATTAATTACACATGGTACATGCTCCATTTTTGTTGTATATAATATGTGCAAACTTTTTCGCGTTTTATTATACAACGTTACTTATAATCGGAAGGAGCATTCGATACGAACATCAACAATTAATGTCACAAAGTCAGAAGGTTATTTTTTGTAGAAAAATAGCAAAACTTTAATTAGTATGAAAATAAATGAAAACATATGAGTCCTGACATTGTTAGCAAGGTCCACAGTGTGCCTGTTGGTGTCTGTCTTGTCATACGGAAGTCATTAAGCGTACACCTGGTTGATCATCGCAAAAGGGTCTAGGATCAGGTCGATAGAGACCCTCGAACTTAACCTTATGTCTTTAATAAAGCGCGAGGCTACGCCTGGATAAGAAAATATGCGTGTCGGTGTGGAATTTGCTTCAGTTGACTTCTGCACGTTAAAAAGGTCAAGTTGTTCAGGCAAGGTCGATTTACATATCCCAAGTATAAGAACTTTTTTAAATTATTAATATTAATATTAGTTCATGAAAAAGAACATGTATATTCATAAACATGTAAATAAAATAATATCGAAATTTATGTGCGTATGCATAAATTTAAATATTGCGCAAATCATTGATTTTAATTTGCTCACATCCGGATTTTCCAGCACATGGCAATGAATATTGCACTGTTTTTTGAGAAGAAATCTCTTGTTTGTTCTATTTTAATCCTTATGTGGCTAAACGAACGAACCTCAGGACTCTGCTTGAAAACTTTTAATACTACTGAGTATACTCTCTCGCAAATTTTAGGTCTATGAATTATTTGCAAACTTCCAATATGCTAAGTAAACGTCAAGAGAATGTGCCAAGCAAATTTTTGTAACTTAGATAATTGTTTGCTACATATATAGCATACTATATACAATAACAACTGTTGTAATATACACTATAAAAATCATTCTGAAACAATAAACATGCAATGAATACTCTATTTATCTGTTAATAATTAAGGTTAGTATGCAATATGTATAATAAGCTATTTTTGATTAGTTGATTGCACTGCATGGAATCTAAGTTTTATTATAAATAATTTGTTATATTGTTTTTTAATATGCATAAATTTTTTAATAAATATATTTGTGCATAATATGCATTTACTTGAATATAGTTTGTCTTAGGTTAGGTTAGGTTAGGTTCAATTTAACTTTATGTCAATTTACAACTTATATAAAAAAGCTTCTATACTTCTTTTTATTTTAATTATGCATGGTTTTGTTTAGTTTATCAAAGTGAAAATGTCCAATTCAGAAAGTGGTGTGGTATGCATTAGTGAAGTTACTCTTGCGATTAATAAAGCAAGAAGTTCTCAACCAGGTACTGTGAGAATTCTTGATAGTCCTGACTCTGATGGATCTGGCCATTCAAATTCATTTACTGTTCAACGATTTAACTATGATCCCAATGATACTAATACCAGCTCAGATATTCTTCAATCACCTCTTACCAGCGATGATTTAAGAGTACCCATTGTTGGTTATGAGATTATGGAGGAAAGAGCTAGATTTACAGTTAGTTAATTTTAAATTTTAATAATTTATAATTCCGTTACTCATATATATAAATGTCTATTCTTTTTTGTATATAGGTCTATAAACTTCGAGTTGAACTAAAAAATGGTGATTGTTGGTTTGTATTTAGAAGATACACAGACTTCGTCCGATTACTAGCTCAATTAAAAAAACAAAAAGTTCCTATTTCCCATTTGTCACTGCCAAGAAAGAAGTGGCTTGGAGATAATTTTGCTCCAAGTTTTTTAGAAGAAAGAATACATGGGCTTCAAGCATTTGTTAATGATATATTGAGCAGCCCAATTTTCATAGGTGTTGCTTGTGTAAGGGAATTTTTTTGTTTAGATGAACCTCCTGTGTTATCAGATACAGCAGAAGAATCTAGAGTGAGCTTATATAACATAGATTATGTTTATATAGAGTACAGTATATTTTTTATATTGTTTAACTTTAAATGTTTAATTTTTTCAGGCAATATTTGAAGCATTGGAAGATACAATTTATAATTTGAGACAACAACTAAGAGAGTATGATGCAGCACTTAAGGCTGAGAAGGCCCAGTGTAATGAACTTCGGAATAAGCTTCATCAGATACTGAGGTAAACAATAAAATATGTTTGTAAATATTATGTGCTATGTAAATTACTTTTTATAAAACATCATATTTGATATTATTTCAGTGAAAGACAAACCTGTTCAAAATGTGGTGCAACCTAACAGAGTAATTTTATAAATTTTATAAACTTAATAATATTAGATCTGATAACATTGATGTGTATAAACCTTAAATCAATATTATTATAAAAAAACGAATGCAAAAAAGATATTTTTTAAGATCTTGTTACAAGAGAGATATTTATGAATAATATTTTTTAAAGATATAGAAGATTATATTAATCGTTATATATTAGCAAGAATTTTATCAGTATTACAGTAAATTATGTTAAGATTTTATTTGCAAATTTTTAAATTTGACAATTTTACAGAGAATCTCAATAATTGATTATCCTTTTAAATAAATTATAAATAATAGCTCATCTAATTTTAAGTGATATATCAATACATATTAAAATTAGATAAGTTTATATATATATATATATATATGAATTTACATTTACAATTTATTTATTGAAAAAGTGCTTTTATATTGAAGAAAGTGATATTGATGTGATGAATATGTCCTCAGTTCCAAACAAAAGATGTGTTAAATGTATTCTTATATACTTTTTATTGTATGTGTATTAAATATAAAAAAAATATAATTAAAATACACAAAAAAAATGAAATTTATATAATTAAATGAGTGTCCAGCAGGCTGGAGAATTCTAATCATAGTAGTTTTCTACATTTGTTTTTCATTGCAGTTGTTCAAAATTTTAACTGACTGTGCAAAGAAACTGAGGAAATTCAAAGATAACTTTTGCACATGATAATATTTTCATATAATCTGATATTTTATATAAGAAATTATACATTTGATAAGGTTTACTCATTTTAACTATTTATGTAGAGTTTATCGTTTTAATCGTTTTTTATAATAATTTATATATAATGTCTAATGAATAATATTTATTGCTGTATATTAGCATTATGAAAAGAAATCGCGAAAAAAATGAAAGATATAAATTAAAATTTTATTTTCTCTAAATATTACTTTAAATATAGCAAGATATTTAGATATAATAAATGTATTATGTATATATAAAACGGTATATTTCGAATAACGTTTTATTTTGTCGTTAACATTTATTATATCTAAATATTCTGAGAAATAATACTTTACAGGGGAAAATATTGCAATATTATACAAATATATAAATTTTCTTAACCATTTACATGTTATATGACAATGCGACTATATCAAGATATTCTCTGCATAATTATTTAAAGTATTAAAATCTATATATCCTTAATTGTTTTATATATGTAATTGAAATTATGGATGTATATGCTTTTGCAATTATGTAACATTATCACACAATTTATACATATATATTTAAATTATAATACAACACGTTTATTCACAAATTATAGGCTTATTACTTTATCTTGTATAAGTGGCAATAAATGATAAATTAATTCACTCACCGATTGTTGTACTTTGGTTGAATACGCTCTCCAACTTTCCTTTCTTTGAGTACTTCAATAAATCACATGGATGAATACCAGAAATTCACACTGAGAGCACTACTAAACGAAACTTAGTCATATTTCACTTTAATAAACGGATTCACATCGTAAATTTGCCGAACCGCGGTACACAAAACACGGAATAAAACACAACACACTCACGCACAATATATTATAGGCAATTATTATTATTTTATATATTTGGCATTTTATACATTAATACATACTTAGAGCAAGCGCGATCACTATTTTGACAATACAATGCAGATCATGGATTCCGCGAAAATGATCAGAACACCAACGCCGATCCACCATATCGTTGCAATTCACGGTGCGACGATTTGCCGTTAATTGCCACTATCTGCGATAAATAATACGTTCCGGCAAATCGCTCATCATTTTAATTGTCATTCCCGATAAAATTCACACTTATTATGTACTTTTAACGAATAAAATACGCGAATAATTGCGGTGCATCCGTGATCCGCAACCTGAAACGATACCGTTTAAATAAAACTGTCATGGCTGTGCGAATAGAAGCGGTGAAAAATCATTATCAATATTGCCAATATTTTAATATTAAAATATGGCAATGTTCCATATTTTGATTGGTCAATCTTACTTTTAGTCCAAAGCTTCTATTGATCTGAGCCATGTAATTCGCAACGTAATTGGTCGCTACAGATTTCTATTGATTGGTCTCCACGGATTTATTTCAATTTAAAAATATTGGTAATATTTTCATATAGTTTAACAAATTAGTCGGTACTATATTTATTGTCGATATTATATTTGCTTTAGATAACAATACATGCTGAATTATCGATGCACACAAACCATCATCATTTCAAGTGTCGTCAAATAGCGTCAGATGGCAACAAATGGCGTTGAATGACGTCGATGGCATTGTAGTTTCGTGTCATGTTGACATAGAAGAGATAATTATATCGATTGGTCATTTGTTTTCAGACATTTTTATGCGCTCCCATAAAAAGCTATTTATCGCTACAAATGCCGACGAACTTTTATGAGAGCGATAATCAGTAGGTAAAATAAAAGGATTTTTATAAAATACTTTTATTGCACGTTCTAAAACTTACATATTTGCGCCGTTTTTAATGTCAAGTTGGAAGATTTTTTATTTTCATTGAATATTCATACCTTTCTTCGGAAATTATTATTGATAAGATTAAAAAAGTTCAAATAATCTGCGATAACGTATGTTATCGTTGCGTCAAACTACAATTTTGAAATTGAACTTTTAGCAGCTTTTATATAACTGTTGTTATTAAATATTACTAAACACTCATTATCAATCATAATAGCAATCAAAGTGCCTAATATTTCATAATTTTATTTGACAGTATACAAAATGTGTGATCGTCGTTCTGATATTATCGACGGTTATATCTGTCCGCGCGGATTATCAACTTGTCGCAGTCATTGTCGAGCATTTTCGACATCGCGAAATGGTCGAGTCGAGGCAAGTCAGAGGCATGATGGCGAGACGTGACGCGGATTGGCGAGGCGAGACGAGAGGAAACGTGGCGAGGCCGACACGCGTGCTCCGTTCAAGTCAGGTACGGCGGCGAGAACCTTTCCTATGACGTGGATTTCGAGGCTCCTGAACCTCACTCTCGCAGTGTACCGGGTGTTCTCAACCGAGGCAGTCGCGTGATATCACATCACTTGCGTCATTGGGAAACGTGCCGGGAACGAATGCACGAAACCGTCACAGCAATAAGACAGCGCAAAACAGTTTTTCGAACGAGGATTGTGTCAGACTGTACAAAGTCTTCGGTTCTGACAATTTGCACGAGCTGCTCGTTGGTAAGCTCGAAAAGTCGCTGCTATGCTACTCAGACTTTTTGCACGCTAATTCCCTTTTCTTTGCTTGTTTTTTTTTAGATATTTTTTAGATATTTTTTTTAGATATTTTTTCGCCACTTTGGACGTTTATGGATTTAGTAGTTTATTATCCAATCTATGCGAGAATAAAAAACTGATTAAAAATTTGATAGTGCTAATAAAATGATTTGATACTATTAATGAACATCATTATTTGTCATTATTGATAATATTATTTATTCTACATATTATGTCATATATTTTTTAATAGCAATTCTTTCTTCACTATTTTTCGTCTAGAAATGCATTTTTGTTTGAAACATCGATATTGTATATGCTACTTTGAAAGGAATATTATGTTTCTAGACGCACTTGTCATTTATTTTTATCGTTAGCAGATGTGCTTTTTATCAATTATCACTATTCTGAACGTGTAATTTACCGGAAGCATTAAATTCCAAACAAATTACACGCACAAAAGTTTATCGAATAAATGAACTTCTTTCACACGTCACTACTTTAGATAGAACAAACTCGATAAAATTTTTAACAAACATAATTACGCGAATTTCTTGTTCTTTTTTCTCGTATATTCTCTAATCTTTCCGCCTCACATAACTTGGCATATAAGTTGAACGTAATAATCTACAACATGTGACTTGTAAAAACTTTAACATTGCATACTATTAACTATTTTATAAGAGATAAAATAAATTGTAAATTATAAATCCTTGGCAAACTCAGCATATATGCGACAAATAATCGAACACTTGTAACGTTCTAAAATTATCTCGATTTGTGAATTTTCTTTTTTTCTTAACGATATTTATTTTGTCGCGTTATATTCGTGCCAAAAAAAAGCGTGACAAAGTAAAAGATGAAAAATAATAAAAATAATAATAGCTTAATTATATTTTGTTTATTTTAGTAAGTCACATAAAAATTTCCAAGATACAATTTAATCATTATGTGCACAGATTTGCTAATTCGTAAATTTATTTTTTATCTTCTGAGATAAGAATATTTATCAGTGATTCTTGATGAATAACGTATTTATATTCTGCATAAATTTTCTCTGTTATTAATATATGTTGTATCATCGAGTTATATAAAATTTATTTATTTTTCTCCATCATATTCTCTCTTTCTTTCTTTTTCTATCGATTTCTTTTTTTTATTTAATATCAAAAGTTTGCTGAATAATTAAATAAATGCTTAAATTAGCAATAAAAGATTTTATTGTTTTGAATATTTTGCATGATCTGCAAAATCTGCGAAATAATCCTGTTATAGTATGCATAACTACCGTTATTCACAGACAATGTCCCATCGTATTGATCGTCTTGAAATATTTCATACAATGTTTAATTGATGTCTCGATACGCACGAATGCGTATTTGAAATAAGTAATTCGGTGTAATTGGATAAAAAATATGTGAAGAGGTGTAAAGAATTATTATTATTAATGTTTTTTAAGCAAAAAATTTATTTAAATTAGACTATCTCTTAATCACTTTTGACAAATCAAAGTTATAAATTTTTTTATACCATAATTATATCATAAAAGAAATAATCAGGACAATTTTTGTCTGAGCAATTTTTCTCATTTTTTGAACCACGGACGTAGTTATATAATGGCTAGTAATTATTTTGTGTAGAAAGAAGTAATATAGATAATTATAACGCATAATTTGTATGAGTGAATTATTTAACTTTTTAAATAAACACGATTTATTAAATATAAAGTGAATTTTATCGGAACTTTAATATCCGTATATTTTGGCAGAGACAGACATTCACGTGGAAATCGACCGGTCGGTTTCCATGGTGATCACACCCTTCCATCGACTCTTATATGACTTTACTTTCTTTGCGTGCGTACAATCGAGCATATATAAAAAATATGTACAAACATTTTGATAAGAATTAGAAATATGATTAAATTTATAATTTAATTCTGTTTAGCAACTAGTTATAAAAACTAAAATTTACGTATGCTGAATATGTTAATAAGCTTTTTTATCTGAATTTTATCTGAATCGATAAGCATAATCGTAAAATCTATAAAACGTGATAACACATAAGTGAAACACATAAGTTCTTTTTATCATTTACTAATCTTAACGAGGAAACAAAATATATTTGTCAATTGCGTGGCTCTTACCAAATATTGACGATTACTCATGCGCCAGATTATCTTTTACAAGGAAAGACTTTCACGAGAACGACTAAAATATGACATGTTTCAGTTTTGAAATTGACCTTCGGCTTTTATTTCGATGATCTTATTTATTGAAAACTCGAAGTAGGAGTGAATTGTGAGTTTAATAATGCGGCAATATTACTCTTAATTTCAAGGATTTAATCCGATGTCTTATACAATCAAACTTATAAATATATATTATTGCTAATTGCCAGAAAAGTTTTTAGCTTTGCGTCGAAAGTCAACAGTTATGCAATGAAAGTATTATTAGATTTTCCTCCCGACGAGAGACTGCTAATAATAAGTGCGTCTACTTTTGAAAGTTTTGGAACGTTTCGATGTACTTTGTGCGCGTACGAAGCATTTTTTCCTTTAGAATATATAACCGAATATAACCAGTGGCAGTAATGAAACAATAAATATAAAAGAAATGGAAAATTCTGGTTTGGACAATATCTGCACATTTTGCTTTTATTTATTATCCGATCCTTTTGTATGTTTATTTATAATTTTAAATAAAGTGTGTTATGTTAAGAGGAGAAAGATATAAGGAATAATTTACATGTATATTTATAGTACATGTATATTTACATATATATTTATAGAATGCATACGCAAGATATACGTAATGCCATAACTAATAATTATGCATGATCAAAGCGCTTTCACTAATTTTCGATTCGATATTTTTTATTTCAGGTATTATGCACTGACACAAATATTGTCTATTTATCATCAATAATTCATTATTTTGCAATTTTCAGTTTTTGATGGACACTCTTCTTTGGCATTTAACTGATTAAACAAGCTTTACTTTATTAATCAATTAATTAATTAATAAGTAATCTTATTTAATCATACCATTATCTAATTCCTCTTTTTATTTATTTATGATTAATATTAAAAACGTTTTGTAATTGCTCACACCGACGAGTGTCGTACGCATTTTTCTATACCTATATACGCATGCACGCCTGCAAATACGTTACTTGCATTACCTCAATGGTGAGTAATTACTGATTTCCTCTTTATTTATTACTTATATTGCGTTTGTATCTCAAAATAATGTTGAAATAATTTAATAATTGCTTATACATGCTTATATGCTTTATGTGTTAATTATACTTACATATGTATAATGCAAAAACGCGTATCATTTGCCATATCGGTCTTCACAAAAGCTTGTTATCAAAAATTTCGAAGAAACATAAAGATCGATGTAGAGAGCAAATAAATGGAACATTTTCATTCAGAAGATACATTTTTTATTAATAGGCGACTATTAAGATCATTAACGCTAATAGGGCAGATATTCGTCTTAATATTAACGTGTGAGCTCTAGATGCGTCAGCGTTTAAAATTGCGTGTCAGTGACAGCTTGTTCTTTTGACTCGGTACATCCATTATAAAAAATTTACAAAAGTGAGATATGAGATATGAGAAATAATCCATCATCATTGTTTGTTCTCGATCTTTTGCAAAAATCTTGTGCGCATAACGTCGCGTTAAGCAGTTGTATCCAAACGTTAAAATAGAACGGACATACGATCGATCATTATCAATGAATGTATAAATTTTCTAAAGTTTTTGTTAATATAACATTATTACGGCAATAGATATATGAATTATTAAGGAAATGCGATCTAATTTAACATGCCACATCACGTGTGCCTTCGTGATTCACATCACCAACCGCATTATCCTTATTTCTTATGTGTGCGCAGTATATTTTTATTTTTCTACAATTTTTTTATCAAATGTGACATGTGCAATTACTGATGATTAAAAAATTGTTTTATAGGACGAGCAACTCGAGCGACTCGAAAGTGCGTGCATGCTGAGTTCCGTGAAGTCGACATTCCGTGAATCGCCAAAGATCGTTTCGAAGGTCCTTATGGTAACCGGAGGACAAGGTGGATATCACCCTAGCGAGTTCCAAGGACTGAAGGGCTGGCGACGTCGTTGGATTCACTCGGCCATCACTTACATTTAGAGGAATAATGACTAGCAAGAACGAGAATATTCCTCAAGAAACTCAAGTCGAATGCGGCGATGACTGCAGACACAGTGGAAATAACAACAATAACAATCGTTACAATGATTGCTCTACAAGCGCTGCTCGAAAGGAAAGCTTTTACACAAAGAGAAATCAGAGCAATCATCATCAGCCTGGCAGAGCTCCATTGGTCGGTTGGCGAAATGGAAGTCCGACGATTTATTCGAATTCTGTCCATAAGGGCATTGACTCGAAAAATTGTAACATACGTCAAATCAGTTTGGATTCAATGCAGGAGGAACCGATCGATACGATCGAACCAATTGAAGTGATCGGGCCGATCGAACCAATCAAGTCCGTACATCCGGAACAAAATGATACATTAAATCAAGTTAAAGAAGTTGTTGTTCTCGAAGGATACTCTGAACCGGACACCAATACAATGACGAATCAACGAGACAAAGATTCCATCGATTCTGAGAGCATTCTGGAGCCTGATTCCTTAGATTTTGCGACAAAAGAAAAAAAGAGTGATAAGCCGAAGATACCGGACGGTGGTTGGGGATGGATGGTTGTTTTAGCATCTCTGTTAATTTCCATGGTGGCGGACGGCGTCTCCTTCAGTTTTGGTCTGCTTTTTATCGAATTCCTTAATGAGTTCGGCGCTTCCAAGTCCAAAACCTCCTGGATCGGTTCGCTCTTTATGGCCGTACCTCTCTTATCTGGGCCGATTATGTCTGCCCTCGTAGATCGTTACGGATGCAGGAACATGACCATCGCCGGCGGCCTGATATCTGGATTAGGCTTCATATTGAGTATCTTCAGTAACACCATCGAGGTAATGTATATTACTTTCGGCGTGATTGCGGGTCTTGGTCTGGGTTTGTGCTACGTCACCGCGGTTGTGAGCATCGCCTTTTGGTTCGATAAGAAGCGAACCTTAGCTGTAGGTCTCGGCGCATGTGGTACTGGCATTGGTACCTTCGTCTACGCGCCGATGACAGCGTACTTCATCCGAGAATATGGTTGGCGCGGTACCTGTTTGTTGCTGGCTGGCACGTTCTTTAATATGATTGTCGCGGGAATGGTAATGAGGGATCCGGAATGGTGGATATTGGAGCAACACAAGCAAGATCAAAACGTGCTGAAAAAATCGCACACCCGTTCGGAGGCGATCAAGTCGGACGGAAGCCCGTCAGACGAATTTCCAGGCGTTGAGGAGCTCAGGGAGCTGCTTAGAAACAATCATACGCCCGAATATTTTCTACAAAATCTAAGCACGAGCACTGAAGCAGTTGATGGCGCAAAGAGGCAGACGACGAGCGTAGTTAATTTACCGACTTTTGTAAAGCGAAGCGAAAAGGTGAGTGTAATCAACTCGCGTAACTCGACGACTTCTTTGATCATATCAGCTTTCGTAAATAAATAAATTCGCATATGAGGTTTTAGGTGCCTTTAGAAGTATTGGAATCATTATTATGCAACTCAAGACTCTACACCGTTATCTTGGAGAATTACCCGAGCCTGCTACAATGTAGAAGTTTATCTGATAAACAACTACAGGATTCGACGGGGGAGATTTGTAATAAAAGCGGAATCACTATGTCAATGAGGTTAATCATTTGTTATGCATAATTATATCGTAGATTTCGACAACAATTCTTTTCAATGTTTTATTATTTTTTACATCCTATAAAGGCTTAAACGAGCAACGGAACCGAAAGCGATCACTGAACAGAAGAGAGATTGTCCAACATCTACTCACACATCGACGAAACTTGCTTGCACCAAAAAACCGTCTAAGAAAGAAATAGAGGAGACTAATCCTTTGCTGACGAAAGAAGTCACGCACGCGGTAACAAAGTGTAACTCTCGATTATGAAGTATCATATATTTACTATAAATCAAAACAATGCTTTTCAGGTCGCTCCAGTGGAAAGAAAAATCATGTCTAAGCGTTATGTGGGCGATTTGCAGACCGACGTTATCAGGACTGACTCGATACCGTGGCTTAGACGACAATTCAGCACAAACACTCACTATTTTAAAGATATAAGAGTACACAGAAATTCAGTTATGTATCGCGGCGCTGCCCTAAATTTGCACAAGTACAGACTAAGAGCGAGCAGTTGTCCTAACATCTACAGAAACAGCATGATCACGTTGGCTAAAGAAAACGAGCAGGTATCGTGGTATTGAAGGAAGCAAGTTTCCAAAATATACATTTTTTTTCCTCTTTATCAGAAATGGTACTCCGAGCTGATAGACCTTATAAAGAGTATGCTGGATTTTTCGATGTTTCTCGAGTTACACTTTCTGCTGATGTCGTTGTCGACGATACTGCTGTTCACTTGGTTTATTGTACCGTACTTTTATCTCGCGGAGCATCTGATGAGGAATAATTATGATGAAACCGATGCCGCTAATCTTCTCAGTATCATTGGCATAACGAATACCATTGGAATGGTAATATTAGATCAGCACTAGATTAGCACTTTATTCTCGAAGGATAAATTCTCTCATACTCGGCACTACGTTTTCAGATTGTTCTCGGGTGGGCTGGCGATCAACCTTGGATGAATGTCTGTAAAACGTATACTTGGTGCCTAATAGCCTGCGGAGCGGCCATTGTATTAATGGTGGTATTCACTCAACATTATACATTTCTAATGATAAGCGCGGCAGCATTTGGCCTTTTCTTTGCCAGCAACTTTAGTTTTACTCCAGTAATATTAGTTGAATTGATACCACTGGAAAGATTTACAACCGCTTACGGTCTTAGCTTGTTATGCCAAGGAATCGGGAATCTTGTCGGTCCTCCATTAGCTGGATGGCTTTTTGACGTAACGGGCACTTGGGATCTTTCTTTCCTTATGGCTGGCGGTTGGATTATTGTCTCTGGAACATTAATAGGCATTGTACCGTACACAAAGAATCGAAAAATTTTCGGTAACGGGCCGGTCGAAATGGAACAAATAAATGATAATGATGACTGCTTAGCATAGAGAAGGATATACAATATTTAAAGTGCATAGTATTGTTGCAGGTAAAACGAAACAGACGAATAAGTATTTCATTCAGAAAAATTTTAATCTAACATACGAATCTCACTGCGCTTACATCGAATTTTTGAATTATCTATTTATAATAATATTTGAACATACAACACTTCTCTCATATATCACAATTTTGTCGTACTTAATTTATTCGTCTCGAATAGTTTTGCTTACATAATGCAATGATTTGTTTTGAAATATACTAATTTTCATACGTGCATACTTAGAAGTTCTATCTACTTAAAATGCGCTTCAAACATATAAATTGCATATAGCATGCTTAACTGTAATCGAATAGATTGAATAAAAGCGATACGAACAAGTAGAAATTTATTAACAACGCAGAAAGACATAATAAAACAAAATTGAAGAAATATATTTAGTTTTATATAAATATATTTCATATATAAGAAAATAAGAAAACTTGCACATAGAAAAATTTATTTCCTTAAAACTTTTAGAACCTAAAACGTTTAAACATATTTACATGATTTATTCATGCAAATAAACGTCGATGATTTCGAATAAAATTTATTTCTCAAATAATTAAATTTTCTAAGTCCAATAATTTTTTCATCAAATCTTATATTATAAATTATTTGTTGTTATAAATTTTAAAAACTGTTTAATAGTTTATTGTAGAAAAAATTTTTATTGACGTTATTAATCCAAAGAGTAGATAAATAGTCAATTAAATAATAATATATATTAATATTTACTAGAAAATATAAACATTTACAAAAATGTGCAATTTTATAAGAACAATCTTATCAAAAATTGTTAATCTAATTTAAATTAATTCAATTATGTAATTCGATTTACTAACAATGTGACATTAAATATCTGTTATGATAATACGAAGATGTTAATATGTCCCGTTCCATGCATATAATGCAAGCTCCTAATTCTAATTTTCAATATTATTGAAGCATTTGTACGGAAACTGAAAGATTTAAATCCGACAATCCCGTTTGTCGAGCGTGCACACAACTACATATATTTATTTCGATAAATATAACAGTATTAAATATTTATCGTTAACTCGGGATTGATCGGATATTCTTTCAAAGAACAAAAATATATTATATAAACAAAATTTTAAGAATAAACAATTTCTTGTTTTTTTGCTGTGAACATTATATGTGAATTATGAATATATTTATATAACTATCTCAATATCCCGGTGACGTCGTGGGATTAAGCGAATTAGAACTTGGACTTCGACTCGATGCTTTTGGTATGCCCCGAATAATGGTAATGTTTTCTTGACTTTTAAGAAACAATTTTGCAATGATAAAATGTTGAAGACTAATGCATCTCCCATTATACCAAGACGCACTTTGTTTCCATGCTTGTGCAGAGTTATAGACATGTCTAAAAATACAATATTTATAACAGCTTGATAAAGATGTGGTCTAATTAAAACAATATAAACACTGATAAATTAAACGTACTTCAGTTTCCTTGCGGTGGTCGCCAATAAATCGATCCATTTACGCCTTCTATTGGTAAAGCCCCGTCGATGTGCGTTAAACACAAGAAATATCTTCGTGACAATTGATTTAAAAGTAATTTTAGAACGATGGATGTCAAGCAAGATGAAATCAATCTGAGGGACGTTTCTGCTGCTGTGATAGCGTAAATCGCACTCTGTCTAGACCTGATTTCCTGGACGTTTCGTTGAATCACCTTTAGAAAACAGTCAGTAAAGAGATTTCAGTAAGTTTTTTACACGAGTGAATGCCTATCGGATTCTCATCTGACGCATTTCAATGAAATCATCGTGACAGAATGGCGTCTTGGTAGGTAAGGCGAGACAGGATATCTTTGGCTTCGTGATTTCTCAAGAACACCGCTCATTGACTCACAAATTTCACAGTTGCGAATTTCACAGTTACATCATCCGGAATGCTAAAATGCGAATGCTTGAAGTATATTTTTCTTCAGAGTGTCCACGGTGGACGTCAAAAGAATTTCCGTTTCAGTTGCACCAGTTATGTTAGCAATTTGCCGAATGAGATCGATGTCGACTTCTTCCGACCAAGCAACGACTTTTCTACCGCACGATGAGATAGTCTGCAGTTGATTCGACTGCGGATGCTTCAAAAATAATCTTCGGCGCAGTCACGGCTATCCAGCTGATAGATACGACCTCCCGGAGTGCTTCAAATGTCAAAGAAACGTAACACGAGAGCATGTACGTCAAGGTGACCGGAGAATAATACTTGTGTCGCGATTTCAAAGTTCGTAATTCGTGAACGAGCAAAAGAGGCATTTTCAAAGTCGACATAATTACAATGTACCATGATAGAGCGATGCAAGAATAAATGATGTCGAATAGAAAGACTTCATGATGGATTCAAGTACCAAGCAAAGATTGAAATACCTCTTGTTCGACTCACGTTGAACAATCAATAGAAACTCTAAAATTTTTAGCTTTTCCGATTTTCGACATTGTTTAAAGAAAGTTACAAAGAAGTTAAAATTCAAACATGAGATAATCATTAATGTTACTATTATTTTAGATATTCCAAAAGATTTTTTTTCAATGATAACATGATACAAAAATTTAATAAAATTGTTAAGTAGAAAAGAAAAAATGAAATATCTGGCCAGTTCTTCCAAAGTGCAGACCAGCACTATCGTCGTGATCTTTACGCACTGCAACACTCCTATCCGCTTCTTCAAGATCTCTGGTCGTTCGATCGGATCATTATTGTAAAGAAAATCGTTTCAATAATTGCTGAAGCTTTCGATGAGCATCTGTCGAAGGCGTGGTAAAGCGGAAAGTTGTATGTACAAATTGGTGAACGGCGAATCGCTTTCCTGACACGTCCAGTTGTCCGTCGAATATTTTAATGGTAAAAAATCCGCCAAAGTCAAATGCTCCTGCCGCAGGAGCAAATAATGCGCTCGCACAAGACATATCTGACGTTCCTCACCTCGCACAAAGCAATTCACTACGTGCACCTGCCACGGCGACAGTTTCATTGGGAGAAATTTTGATGTAACATTGCTTATATAATCCTAGAAGAAAGCAATCTTATGTTAAACAAATTCGGGATCGATAATGAGAATGTAACATTCTGACCTGTATATTGCTCTCGGTAATTGGACAGCATCGATAAGAATACAGCGACTTTGCAAAATGGTTGTTCACGGAGAAGTGATCGAGCTCTTTCTAAACGTATATACCCCATCGAATGAACAGAGCAGATTTAAGGAATTTTTTCGTGGTAACTAGATGCAGCAGATGATTCCTCACGCCCTCCGCAATCGCATGTCATTGCACGAGAAGCGTGCATATATAAACTGTATCGCGGCGAAATTATAGTAACAATCAAAAGTGAATTGTTTATTCGAACTTGTCGATACCTACGTAATTTCGGCCCTGCTCCAAAATGCTTCAAATACTTTTCTCCTCCACAACGACATAATTCGAATATTTCCATTTCACAAAGCGTATTCAACAGTTCCTTGTCCACCTTACCATTTAAAAACACCAAACATAATGACGCAATATAGCCCATAATAAAATAATAATCCGAAAGCACTAGCGTCGAAATTATTTACATAATATATGCAACAAATTACGATTTTGAAAATATTGAAAGTATGGAAATAATATCGAGCAAATAAAAAAAACCATTAAATTCAATTGCACCAGCACGGAGATCCGTTCCTCTTTACGTGTTTTTAAAAGTTTGAATGTACGAAGATAATTACCTGCATGCGTGATAAGAAGTGAAGGAACCAAGAGTATTGTCAGCGCAAAACTGAAGCCAAAATTCACTGTCGACGTAACGTCGACACCGATCATGACCTGTTTGCTTGCAATATGTTTAACAATAGGCGATAACCTCGAATCGGAGTCGAGTTGCACTCTTGTTAGCTTTCGGTCTTACTACCAATGATGTAAGTCAACGCAATACAAGCCGCAGCACCCGCATTCATACTGGAATGCAGACGATTATATTTTGAGTCTGATCTCTCGACCTCTTGTAAAATAGACCAATCAAACATCTGCGAGATAATATTCATTCGTGTCTTTCATCATCGAAGCCGTCGAATGGTGTTAGCAGAAGTTTGTAAATTATCATTAATAACAAGACGACTGCAAAGGAATGATCGAAGAAAGAACTGATAATGTCTTTGATTGGAAACTTCTTACGAACATAAACTGAATGTAAGAAGTTCCCAATTTAATGTAAAGTACTTAATTAAATATTATACATTAAATGTATAATGAAAAACCATATGTGGTTTAACAAAATTTAAATAGAATTTCTACTAAAAATGAGATCTTGTATTTTACTCATTTTATAGAATTACATTTTATATATAATTTTTAATTTTTACCACAAAATTGCATTTAAAGAAGTTAGTATACTCTTGTCACGTTGCATTAAACAGCTTACAATCACAAAATATTTCAATAACACTATACTACTTTTTTTTAAAAAGTTTACTGTAATAACAGCTCAAGAACACGGCACGTAAACATATACGACAAATAAAAGAAGTGTTTTGCAATATAGAATAAATTATTCAATGACACATTATCACTTAAAATAATAAAATATTTTTAATTGCGTTATGGCTTAAGGATTACATAATAAATAAAAATATCTATATATATTGAAATCTAAATTCCACGAAATAATGTCGACCATAATTTAAGGCTTTATATGTAGATCACATATTTATTACTATCGTTATCTGTTATTTGTCATTTAATATCTGTTATTGTATAGTGGAATGATAAAATATATGTATGATTATAAAAAATTGAGGACAAGATACGCGCGCGCGCGCGACTTTAACATGGTCGTAGGTCAATGGAAGTAGGAGAAAAACTAAGTAAACAAACTTGTCGCGTTTAATGCAGCTTCAACTTCAATTATCAATGTCCACCTGTCTCCGTCACGGAGTTCACTAATGTCATAATGCAAGGTGCAGTTCTTTAATAGACATTGGCTAGAACACAGTAATAGCAGAAACGCAGCATTTTAACAACGCTGCTTATGTAGCTTAACAAAATTCATAATAAAAGTGTCTTGTATTATTTGCATAACAAAAAAATATTCATTAAAAATGTTAGATCCCAATGACGCATCTGAAAACATTATTAAAAATTCCCAATGTGATGTGAAACATTCGAGTGAATATGAATTTGTAACAGTGTTCAAGAATAAATTCAATCTGAAATTATTTCCGAACGACTTGAACATCCGAACCGTAAAAGAGCAATATACCTGGATAAATGAGAATATCGCTGAATTCTTTCCAAACGTACCGCAATCTTTACGAAGCTTAACTCCAGCTTGCTATCGCCAAATAGATTTACCATCAATGGAAAAACCAAAATAGTTGGATGTAAATAAATATCATAGAGGACAAAAATTTACGCGCGAACATTTCGCTTCAATTGTTTTCACCCTAATAGTGGGACTGGTCCATGTGTATTCTTTCAACGATTTTCTAAAACCAATAATCATGTCAAGGCACTCTGATACACTATATTTAGGATTTAAGAGGTATTTATATTTTAATTCACTGGTTTACAGTTATTCTACTTTGCTGTAAACCTCGAGATATTTATAAAATTTCCGATTCTAATTAATCGATATATTATAAAACTATTACATACGTTGATTATAAAACATTCTACATAAGTTTAGTAAATATGGCCTTTTTCAAAACTTGTTATTAATTTGCAAGATATTTATCGACTATACAACGCTTTTTTAATTGGTACAACGGAGAGCCTTGGATTGAAGGAACGCCTGCTTATGAAGACATGGTATATGCGCGTAAGATGCATTTGATAATGAGAGACAAATTATTTAAACTTGATAACGAGCAAATCGATAATGCGTCCAAAATTGCGAAGCCATGGTGTCCAGATAACGAATTATTGCTAAAAGATTTTGCCGCGGCATGTCCATTTGAGAATTTTAGGCAACGTCCTTATACGTTTCTCAATATAACACCATGCAGACCAAAAGGTATAAATAATGCAGATATGGCAGTCACACAATGCTGCTTTATAAGTTCGCTCATACTCTGGCCAGAAGAAATGGGAGTAAAAGCAACCAATGATGATTTAGAAGCCGTCTGTCATATGTGGAGATGTTACGGATATTTTCTTGGAATAGAAGACGAGTAAGTAATAATAAGAATAGATGTGTTAGTAAGAAGTAAAAAGTTAGTAAAAAAATGTTCTAATAAAATGTTTGAATATAATGAGTCGCAAAAGCTCCGGAACGGCTAATATGAACATTTGCCACTCACTGTTTATAAATTTTTAAATGTTCTACAATATTTGACTCTACTTATGTATTATAATTTGTCAGGCACAACTTTTGTCGTGG